ACTACAGCTCCCAGCCTCCCTTTCGTATGAGGATGTGACTAAGGTTGACTAGATTCTGGCCCATACCAGGTAATTCGTATCCTTAAAAATAGAGATATATGAGGGCTAGAGGAATATCTCAGTGGGTAAGAGTGGGTACTTCTCTTGTATAGAACTGGGGTTCAATTCCCAGAACTCACATAGCAGCTCTCAAACTGCCTGTAACTCCAGTTCTATAGGATCTGATGCCCTCTGCTGACGTCCAGGTAATGCTAAATGCATGTGATACACTAACACTCAGGCATACCCACATGTGTATGTAAAACAAATGAATGAATCTTCAAAATTTAGAGAGATGGAACAACATAAAAAACTGTAGACACCATTATATAATGGTTAATAATTTATGTTTCAAAGTGACATGGCTCCCATTTCAAGCCCAACTCTGCCACACCAAATAGGTGAACTTGGAAAAGCTCTTCAGCTTATATTCAAATCTCTCCCCTGTAAAATAGGGATGCTAGTTCCTAAGGCACAAGATTATCCCAAAGAGCTACTATGATGATTTATGCATAACAAATTGTCCTAACTGGATTGAATGTAATGCAGTGGAATAAACATATTTAAAGAGCATATCTGAAATCATTAATTATCACACCAGTGGTATATTTCTCTAGAAACTTGCTGAGCCATTTCAAATTACTTAGCTGATCATTTATAAACCAATATTAATAGTTTTAAATACTATTTTCTATATCTTTTTACTCTCTGAATTTAAAAAAAAAGATTGCTTCTGAACATCCCAACCTAAATTAATATACATCAATTGGACTAGCTTGTTAGACTTTACCTGACGCAGTTCCTCCTGAATTAACTTAAATTCTCTCCCCCTTCCTAACTCCCCCATTCCCTTCCTCCTTTCCCTACTTCTTCCCTTCTCCCTCCCCCATTTCCTCCCTTTCCCCTTCCCCTCCTCCTTCCCTACCCTCTTCTCTCTCTCTCTCTTTCTTTCTTTCTCTCTGTTCCTACACCACACACACACAGGCAACACTAAATGCATGCACGAGAGCATGCACTCACACATGAACCCATGCAGTGCTTTTTCCTGGAGCCATGTATGGTTCGGAGCTGAGCTGCAAGGCCCCATTGTATCAATAGTGGTACAATGCCAATGTTTGACATCGCCCTTTATGATGAGGTATTTTGCAAGGGCAGCACTAGGAAAATGCCCAAATAACCCATTTCTACAACAAATGAAAGCTGACTTCTCGTGTTTGGTGGAGAGACGCCAGCGCAGCTCTCGCTGCACTCTACTAGAGAGGAACAGCATTACAGATGCTTACTTACACGTTATATGGGACTCAGAGGACTGTATTCTTCTCCAAGTAGCTCCAGGTGTGGTGTGTCCCCTCTCGGCTGTTGTGACGCTCAGCTGCCTACCGGTTACATTATGTTATGGTTTAACGCACCATATAAGACAAACAGCATCTCCTAAATACACAGTGTGTGAAGATTCCATTGCATAATACCAATCAGGGGCAGAACTGATCTGGCCTACCTCGACAAACACACATGCTGAAACACTAAGAGCATGAACCTGGAGTCAGTTTTCTCTCTTATCCGAAGGAACCAAGGTGATAGATACATGAGTATCTATCACATGAGTCACATGAGACTCAATTTCCTTTCTGTGTGGTGGAAACGGTCATTCTTACCTCATGGGGCTATTCTGGTAATCAAATCTCATATCATACACAATATCTAGAACAGTAGACACAGCCAACACAATGCTATATATTGCTATGTCATCAACACTGAGGCCACCTCTACTCAGGGCTCACTACTCAATGGGCAAAATGACAGCTAGCCATGGAGAACAGCAGAAGTTCTCAGCCTGGGGATTCTCTGTTAGAGACCTAGAGCAGGATAGAGCAAACACTTTCAGGAACAGCTCTTGGCCAATCATTCACAGAGATTAGTGAATAAATAACAATTTCCCCCCTTCTTAAATGAGACAACTCTGGGATTTATTTCATCTACAGTGTATCCCAAAGGTCTCCTATAGTTTTAACTCCATTCATTCATTGTGGTAATCAATCTGCTCTTAAACACACCCTGTATTGACATCTATCATTTTCCTGTCTCGCTTTCCTAACTCATAACCAAAGCTTGCTGGGATTACCTCCAAAACAAACCATGGGCACTCCAATTCTTGTTGCAGGACTGAATCCAGCCTAAATACTCCATCTCACAGGGTGAACAGACTTCTTAAGTGGATTTACGGTGGAGTTTAGTTCACTAAAGGGGACCTTCTCTTCTGCCGCCTTCTGCTTTGTTCCCCTCGTGCATAGCTATTGACTCAGGAACTACTCTGTCCTTTGCATCGCTTTCCTTTGCCTGTGCTTTCATCTCTAACTGGTCACCATGAGTCCAGAGACTCATCTCACCCACTGCCCACTTATTGTCGACAATCTTACCCCCCAAAATGCAGTTCTTGCAATCATGGTCCCTCGGTTTTTGCATTTGAAGCTTTTAGTGGTTCCCATTACCTACATGGATGTAATAATAATAATAATAATAACATATTTCAGAGACTGGCCTCAAATGTTGCTTTCCTCAGCTTCCTCCGCAAGGGACTGCAGCTCGTGGAACAGATAAGTGTTCTCTGAGGATCACCTCTACCTATCATCATTGTATGTGCCTCAGTGGGCCTGGAATCATCTTGGACCACAGAACTGGCTCACATAGCCCCTCCTCCCTGAGTGTTCCCCCAGCTTCATAAGATGCATTAATAGGCCCATCCTCCAGGACTCCTCAGAAGCATCTGTTTTCATTGCCTCAATTGTGCATCCACAAACCATGTTTGACGAGGGACCAGTCACAAGCGATGCCCAGGAAAACAAGGCTGTATAAAAGCAGCTCCTCTACCTGAAGTTTAAGTTGGTCAAAAGAACCAGACATTGCCAAATAAGTTATAGTATAGCTACAAACAGACACACGCTTAAACAGCGAGGAACCCAGCATGGGAATGGGTGAATTTTGCATAAGAAATTGATGCTCTGGATGATAGTGGATTAGAAATGAACCCTGATAAAGGCGGTGGGCTGAACATCCAAGGACAGGGGCACAGCAGGTGCACAGTCCTGGGTTAAGATTGGGGGACATAATGGATTTTTCTAGGCAAAGGCCAACGTTTTAAGACAGGGGCACAGGAAGAATGGAAGGAGGGGACAGTGTTACAGGGTTATTTTGCCATGCTCCTGAGACCCTTGTGCCCCAGCAGTCTCATTCATTGAGACCCCGAGATCTTTATACTGTCTGAGATAAGCCACCATAGCACTTTACACAATGCAGAACACATGTGACGTGTGCCCATTTTGTAGATGTGTTGGGAATTTTATGTCAACGTGATACAAGCTACAGCTATCTGAAAGTAGAGAATCTCAGTTGAGAAAATGCCTCCATTAAGATCTGGCTGTCAGGAATTTTCTAAATGAATGATCGACGGGGTAAGTCCCAGCCCATTGTGGGTGGTGCCATCCCTGGGCTGGTCATCCTGCATCCTTTATAAGAAAGCAGGCTGAGCAAACCATATGAAGCAAGCCAGTAAGCAGCACCCCTCCATGGCCTCTGCATCAGCTCCTGCCTCCAGGTTCCTTCTTGGTGTGAGTTTCAGCCTGGATTTTCCTCAGATGTTGACTGTCACCTGGAAGTGTGAGGGGGAAATAAATCCCTTTTCCCCCAAGTTGCTTTGCTCATGGTGTTTCATCACAGCAACAGTAACACTAAGGACAGTGGACATGGGTATCAGGGGCTCAGGAAGAGTAAATGTCATCTGAGCTCTCAAGAATAGGAGTTGCTTGAATTGACGCATGCACCTGCTGAGAAATTGCATTTTGTTCCTTAAACTGCACATGGCAACTCTTATCTCATCTTTTAAGACAGCACAAATGACCTTTTCTAAGAGTTAGAATTGATTGTGTGATGGACTTAATTAGATTGAATCTGCATTTTGTTTTGTTTTTAGAGACAGGGTCTCACCATGGAGCCCTAAGCAGCCTGGAACTCACTATGTAGACAGGGCTATCCTCGGATTCACGGAGATTCATCTGCCTCTGCTTCCCGAGTGCTGGAATTAAAAGTATTGCACCTCTGTGCTCTAGCTTAAGCACTTTGAGACAGGATTTCTCTCCTACCCCAGCTTTCTGACTGCACAGATGTGCTGCCACATGCTGCTGGAGAAAGTACACTTTTGTTTCCCCTGTAATCTTACAGAACAAAAGGCAGGTGCGTGCTTGTGTGCATGCCTCTGTGTGTGTGTGTGTGTGTGCTGGCCAGGAGGTACTTGCTTTCTGAAGGTCCCAGCAGGAATCAGACCTGTTCTGGGGCCGAATTCTTCTGTAGCCTCTTTGCTAGAAAAAGCATGGGTCTTGAGAACTAGCTGTCAGGAAGCCACAGAAGCCCAGAAGTCCAGGAAGAGCATCCCGGGTGACGGGGTGGGAGGGTGGAGGGGTTGGGGGACGATGATGCAGAGGGCAAAGACTGGACCTGGCTCTTCAAGCCCTGAATGGGATGGATCTTTAACTTCCTGCACCTTCCTGACGCTCCACTCAGAACCAGCAGATGGGAAACAGCCCAATTTCCCAGCTATCCCTCCCACCCCTGCCTACCCAAGGGAGAGGAGGCAACCTTGTCTCGCGGCAGCATCCTCCAGGCCCAGACATTCATCTCTGTCCATTTCAAGGCGCCAGAGCCTGTGCCGTATATACCCAAGTATTGAGTCCAAGTGAGGTGTTGGGGTGTCCAGGCGGCTGTTCCTGCTGTGTTTTATTCAAGAGTCTTGGAGAAACCTGTTTTTAAGGTTGCCAACAAGAGCCTCATTTGGGACCCGCACAAAAGGTGGACTTGAGCTTTTGAGCAGAAGGAAATGTGAGGGCGGGGGAGGAGGGAGAGAGGAAGGGGGACGATAGGGCGCGACTCCTCTGAGGATTACGGCGGAGGCGGTGGACCGAGGCTCCGCTCACAGAGGTTGCAGCCATTGCACTGAGGAGCATCCCGCATTCAACAGGAGGAACCCGCGGCAGAGCAGCCCCGACCCCTTCGCAGCCGCAGCGTGTGCGCCCCGCGGCCGCTCGCACGCCATGGCCAAGGAAGGCGTAGAGAAGGCGGAGGAGACCGAGCAGATGATCGAGAAGGAGACCAGCAAGGAGCCTGCTGAGGGCGGCGACAGCTCCCACCGCCTCGGGGATGCCCAGGAGATGCGCGCCGTGGTGCTGGCCGGCTTCGGCGGGCTCAACAAGCTGAGGCTCTCCAGAAAGGCCATGCCGGAGCCACAGGACGGCGAGCTCAAGATCCGCGTCAAAGCCTGGTCCAGTATCCACTACTTTTTGGGTTCTCTCTCTCTTTTGCGCGCTGGGCGCCCCGGGAGTGGGTGGGAGAGCCTAGATTGGGGATGCAGCACAGGTACCCAGCACCCACAGTCAGCGGGCACCCTCTCTGCGATCTACGCTTGCCTCTCCGAGCTTCCCAGGCAGCCCAAGCCAAGGCAGCCTGGGGAGGATGCTCAGAGGTGGTTCTCCTCTTCCCCACACCAGATGTAGGGTGACAGGAAGGATAGTAGCGCCTAGGACTTGAGGTCTGGAAGACTGCGCTGTGTCCCTGTTGTAGGACAACTCAGCTGCTAACACTGGGAGGAACATAAGGATGGGACTTGGTCTTTAACGTGGTTAAAAAAAAAAAAATAGCAATCACTGTATACGTGTTTCCCAGTGCCCTTTTTTTTATCTTCTGAGTTTTACATATGCGGTCCCATTTAATACTTCCTGAGTCCCAGCAAGCGCAGGTGCCCAGCTTTAGAGGTGAGAAAACAAAAGCTCACAGCGCATGAGGGATCTGATGGAGCTTTCTCGACTGCCAGTAAGTGGCCTGACTTGGACTTGACATTTGATCTCTTTTCACCTCTGTGCGTCCAGACGGGGCTGAGGACAGGGTCCTGCACTCCACTGCACATTTCCTTCCCCGGACTTACAGGACGGAAGGAAATGAGAATCAAGAGGGTTAAATCCTCAGCCGCTAAGCTGGGTAAAAGTGAGGCCAGGGAGGCAGCCTAGCCTCTCTCCCGCAGCGCAGCATCTTCTGCTTTCCTTGGTGGCTGAGAAAGCCCCATCATGTTCCTTAGGAACTCCTGAGCTGGCTTCAGAAGGAGCCCACACTCCAGAAAAAGGTCCCCTATTTCCATTCCTCCCGAGGAAATGTGCCTAGACCATCTGGGATTCCCCAGTACAGCATAAGTGAGAAAGCTTCCCCCCGCCTGGGGGCACTATACCTCCCCTGGTCCCTGAAGTCAAGCGGCGTGGGGACGGATGGAGTCACTCACTGGACCCAACATTCCTTGTAGCATTCCTCACAAGGGTTGTGGGCTGCATCTCCTAAGCCCCTGGTGTTCCTGCTTCTTGGAAACAGCAGCTGACTCACGGCTTCCTAGGACAGATCTGGAAAGCAGAGCCAGAATCTGCAACCTGTTCTAAAGGCAGGAAAAATGCCCCTTCGCCACCTTGATGGCAGGCGGGTTTTATTTTGCCAGATTAGGAGGCAGCTGATGGGAGCAATGAGCAATGACCCAAGGTTCCCTCTTCATATACGAAATTGGTCCTAGTTGGCTTTAAAGGGTGTTTTGAGGTTTCTCGGGTGAAGGGAAGAATCCAGGATAAGAGAAGATGCCTTTGGCCAATCTAGGGATCCTGGGCCGTTCTTTTCATTAACTCTTAGGAAGCCAGGGTGAGTGAATCCAGCAGGCAGAGGTTTTGCTTACCCTTTTCACCAATAAACCACCAGTATCCAGCACAGTTAGCACACTGCATGTTCTAAGGAATGGTAATGGATGAATGGGTTGACAGGGCTGCTTGGAGGGGGGTTGTGGAGTCGTCATTTTTCTTTACTTGTTGATAGAAGACCATTTACCTGGTATAACTAAAACCATGTATGAATAACTTCCCTTCCTTAACCACCTCATCAAAACTATCGTGTCCACACATTTATACACGTGTGTATATGTGTGTCTCTCTGTGTGTCTGATTTATGAAGTTTCCTTTACACTGAATATTGAGGGGTCCAGGACTCTTGAAAATATGTTCCAAGAATAAGTGTTAGGGCCACAATAAAAAAAAAAAAGCTTCATCTGCAGTACAAATAAGTCTGTGTTCTTCAGCTTCTCAATTCACTAGCCTTGTACTAACTGCCAAAAGAAAAAAAAAGAAAGAAAGAAAAGAAAAGAAAAAGAAAGAAAGAAATGCTTACAGGAGCAGAGACATTTTGAAATAATGTCATACCAAAAGCAAGGAGGTGATTTTCAGAGCCTGGTATAGAAACCTGTTCTTTAATGGAGCCATAGACATTACACACACACACACACACACACACACACACACACACACACACTTCACCACACACACACCACACTCACCACACCACACACATACCACACACACCACACTATACCACACACACTGCACCATACTAGACACACACACACACACACACACACACACACACACACACCACATCACACACACCACTACAGAAGGCCTGCTTATTCAGAAAGCTACACAGACCTGGTCTGTACCAGGAAAATAGTATGGCAAAGAGCTCCAGATTGCCTTTTCCTTTCACCAAGTGAGACACAGAATTACTCAGTTGGCAAGGCAGCGTTAGCATAGCTTGTGGAGATGGCCTGCTGGGCCTGCCATCCTCCGCTGGGCTTGGATTGGCTGACCAAAGAGTCCCATTGATTATAAGTTTCTGCCTTGAGAGGCAACGTGACTCATTCCATGTTTTTATGAATTAACTGAGGCCTTGTGGCTGAAGGTCCTCCTTTCAATTGCTTTCTGTTTTTAATGAAAACCTTTTATCATCAAACAGGCTGTTCTTGTCTCTTGGAAACAAAGCCTAGCTCATCTGAACTAGTATTCAACAGACAGTGGACAAGGGTCCATGCTGGTGACTCTGTAATTATAAAAGGGGACAGGAAGAAGCAGGGGGAAAAAAGGGACATTTTATCTCATTTACCCTCTAATATGTGGATTGATTGGGCAGGTGTTTTTCTTAGAGGTCACATTGAGTACTGGGGACATTGGTTGATTTGTAAACAATATCACACAACCAGTAATTTGGATGTGTATTTGCATGTCCTCAGGGCTTCTTTTCCTTCATTTCTATTCCTCAGAAATACCACAGATGTGATTTGTCTCTCCAGACTGTGCCATCTATGTTTGCACCTTTTGTTTCTGTAATACATATGGGCCCATTGTTTTTCTCATGGGTAGCTAAGAGGGCACTCTCTGGCTATTTCCAGAATAATATGGTTTCTCTGGAAATTACATATGTGTTCAAGTGCAGCTCACAAAGACCCACTGCTTGCTGGTACTGTAGGACCAAGAGAAGAACAAGGGGGTATGCCCTCTAAAAAAAAAATCAGCTTATGGGAAACCCATCTCATAAATTCTGCATTGAGTTGGCTAAAAGTAGGTTTAAGTGCCCAAGTAGCAAATGAGTGCGTGTATAAGTGTGTGTGTGTGCGTGTGTTTGTCCTTTGAAAAAAGGTGGACCTCGGTATATGTTTGAACCTTGACCCTTGCTTTCTGTGTGACTTTGGTGGGCTTGTCTCACTTTCTCCAAGCTTCCCCGGGTTTATCTGCAAAACATGAACAAACAGTACAATGAACCTTGTAGTGATATCAAAAGGACTAAACTTGTCCCCTTCCTCGCTAACTGGATACCCTGGGCCATACTCCTTGAACCAGAGTCTGCTACAGGGAGCCTTTCACAAGCAGTATTCTGAGGAAGACCTTTCAGGGCAAAGAGAGCAATGCAAACAGGACAGCGAGAGAGAGCTAAACAAGGGTATGGTCTCAGCTGGATCTCTCTGCAGAGCCAATTCCTCCCAAAAGCAAGAAACAAGGCAAGCCTTGTTTCTGGCTGGGCTGCTAATGGGAATATGGGCTATCTTAAATAGAGGTGCTCACAAATAGATCACAGTTCTCCAGGGACTTATGAGTAACCAACATCTCCAGGAGGGATCTGGATGCACTACAATCTCACTCTTTGCTTGGCATTGCTGATTAGCTACCCTAAACCTCAGTGGACTGGTCTGTAAAACGAGGATAATGGTGTTGTCTCCTTTATTAGTGCTGTACTGAAGTTGGATTGAGTCAAAGCACACAGGACTTTTACAAATAACTAGTGGTTAATAAATGATTTACTCTCTAAATGATTATTTTTGGTTGCCAACGCTACTTGACAGAGTCTTATTATTCAAGCACGAATGGCTTTGAGAGTTAAATGATTGATAATTATGCTGGGATAGCAGGGGCAAACTGGAAAGATCCTAGATAAACAAGGGTGTGTGGTTCCCCTACCTGATAAGTGTTTGATGGCCTATAATATTGTTGCCATCAAGTCTTTTGAACAGGAGCTGCTAAGGTTTGAGCCTGGCTGAAGGTCTCAAGGTTGGGCTGTAGGAATGTATTTAAGTGGCCGTTAACAAGCCTTGTCTAGTTTGTGGCTCAAATTGGCTTGTGGCAGAAAGTCACTAATGCATAGGGGACATTTGTTTTTCCCAGAGTGATTTACAGCAAGAGGCCATATGAAACTTCTGGAAGGAGACCAATTGGATGAAAAATGGTTCTGGCTAGTCACGGCCCCATTGGCTGATCTAAAAATGGGCTGAGGGCAGGCCACACCAGAAGCAAGCCAACAGACGGGTAGAATTCTAATATGTCAGGAGGGTATGTAGGAGACAGAGGAAGAATTACACTCACTGAAATGTTGCTATGAGGTAGAAATTGAGTACATAAATAGGTTCACAAGGTCAATGTCGCTGACTGTGTTCTAAGGGAGACTTGTCAGGACTTCAGAACCCCAAGTGGAAGAGAGATATAAAAGAAAAAATCCAAGTCCTTTTTGTTCCTGGATTGCTCACATTTGGGAGCCAGAGAATAGGAAATTATGATAAAAACAAGAAGGGGAAAGTTAGAGAAATAGAGAGGGGGGTACAGAGAGGCAGGCAGACTCAAGTGATGGGTACACAGAGAAAACACCATGGATGATTTTCATCCAGTTGAGAGATAACTGATAAAACTCAAAACTGTATAATGTCTGCCCTCAGATGAGTATTTGTATCTGTGTCACTTCCGTTTCCTCTGTGCTTCTGAGGTATAAGATACCTTGAGGATAAAGTTACTGGGACTGTTGATAAAGAACGCTCATGTTGATTAAACCTTGGATACACTCAAGGTAGTGGAGTTCTTTCCTTTGCTTCCTTTGATTAACTGGCCATGTTACAAACACTGACAGCTTGAGGACAAGATGTCC